CTGGTGACAGGGTGGGCAGTGAGCCCTGCACTGACTGTGGCCTTCCCCGTACCCTTCCTGTCCCCGACACTTCTCTCTACTGACTAACCTTGGGAATCCTTGCTGGCCTCAAAGCAGGCGGCTCCCTCTCCTAAAGGGGCGCTGGGATTTATGAGCACTCGGTTAGTGCATTTGCAGAGTCCCCCGGTAGCCGAGGGGCCGCACTGCCCTGACTCAGCCTCCACACCCAGCCAGCCCTCTGGCGGGCTCAGGCTGCTGAGGAGGCTGCTGTGCTGGGCAGATGAGGGGGAAAATCCCCTCTCCCTCTTTTTCTCTCCCTCTTTCATAAAGCCAGACCCCGCCTCCTAGGCCAGTGAGATCCCAGACAATAAAACAGATGAAAATAAACATACAGATAGTGATCATGCAGTATCAGGTAGAATCATGCAATAAAATAGGACAGAGGTGCTCGGGGCAGCACATATACTGTGCTGAAAAGAGGGGGCTAGGCGCCAGGCACAGTAGTGCACCCCTGTGATCCCAACACTAGGAGGCTGAGGCAGGAAGATTCCCTGGAGTTCAAGGCCGGCCTGGGCTACATAACGGGCTCCAGCCAGGTGATGTCCTAGCAGAGGCCAAATGAAGGTCCTCATCTTCTCGTCGCCTCCCCGCTGCGGGGTGTAATACCAGCCCATCCCTAGTGTCTGCACATAGTAGGTGCTCAGTGAAGGCTCACAGAGTGACTGAACCACTGCTCAGCTCCGCAGATGCCCACCCCCACCTCTGCTGTAGCAGGGCAACTCCCCTTGTCATCCTAGCTGATCTGGACAGACAGGGAAGCTGTTTGTCACTCTCCCCGGCCTCCTCCCGGGGGAACCCCCAGCAGTGATGGACTGGCCAGCTGAGATGGAACCTGTTGGCAGAATCTCTGCGGCTCAGTGATAAAGGACCATGACGCAGATAAAAAGGCTGCAAGGACCCTAGAATTCTGCTATGGAAAGGGTGCACGGAGGACGACAGGTCTCCCTTCTTCTGCAGGGCCAGAAAGCAGCATCCCTGCTCTGGGTCTCGGTCTATCCATCTGTGCAATGGGAATGTGGTCTTTGCTATGGTGATTAGAAGCATCAGGGCCTTTGAAGGTCAGAAGTGTTACATCCCTGCTTTTTTAAAAATTGCTTTGGGTGGTCTTTTTTGAGGCGGAGTTTTACTGTATTGTTCAGGCTGGTCTTGAATTTAGTTTGTAGCCCAAGCTGGCCTCATACTCAGATGGATCCTCCTGACTCAGCCTCACAAGTGCTGGATTATAGGCAGGAGCCACCACACCCAGCTTTTATTTTTTATCTTGAGAGCAGGTTTTGCTAAATCACTAGATTGCCTTGCCTGGGCTTGCCATCCTCCTGCCTCAGCCTCCCAGAGTACTTGCATGACAGGTATGCACCATTATACTCAGCTCAAACTTTTGCTTGTTGTGTGCATTTTGCAAATCCTATTGATGCCTATGAATCTCTGGTCACTGGGAAGAAAAATCCAGGCTGTGTGTATTGGTCCTAGCGCTGGCTGCTACTGTACCGGGCACAGCTAACAGGTGCTCGGCAGCCAGACAGCCTGCTGCCCTGCAAGGACCCTGCCTTTTGGTCAGCATCTTGAACATTGTCCTTGATCATATTTACCATTCCCTGTTTCCTGGTCCTTCAGGTGGCCTGGTAGCCTTTGGGAGTCCACAGAATTCCCCAATGAAACGAAAGGACTCAAATCATGCTTATCAGGATCACCATGGAAATGTCCTGCACACCTGTCCCCTCTTCTCATCCAGCTCTGTGTCCTGTGGCCAGCAGCCCAGCCACGGTACTGGCCAGGCAAGGTGCAAAATCCAGAGTAGGCACTGTTGGAAAAGAAAGCAACCTGAATGGAGCTGTGACAGCCACGTGCATGGCTGAAGTCCCCTCTGTCCCACGGAGCAGGGTGCAGACGAGCATGGTGCATTGTGGCAGGAATAGCACGTGAGTCACACGCAGCGAGGCCTGGGCAGCTTGACCCTTCCCGGCCCCTCTCCTGAGCTGTCCACAGCCACTCCTGTTGTCCAAGCACCTGGCGGGGCCAGTGCCGCCCAGCGCACCTGCACTCTACTGGTCCCACTAAAGGCCACCAAGCTGACCCCGAGCATTCGCGGGCCGTGGGCCCTGGCTTTCCAGAAGAGGAGCAGCTGCACTGTGAACGTCCTTCCTGGGGACGATCAGCACAGCATGCCCGCATGCTGGGGACAGTGGCTGCTGCCAGACCTGTCACCAGCTAACACGGTCCTTACTTTAGCAGAAATGAGAATTGACACTAAAGCACAGATTTACAGGGGGAGAAACTTGATTTGGAAGTTAGAGGGAAGATGGGGAAGGGCTCCAGCCTGTGCAGCTGGAGGAAGCTTGCTTGGTTCAGGGGTTCAGACCGGCTCATCCCAGAGGTGGGGGGCTAGTCAAAGATCAGCTGGTGGCCTGGGGTCCGGCTGCTCGTGATTATCTCAGCCTGGTGTCAAGGCTCTAGAATCTTTGTGGCTGAGGGATGGTTTCCCTTCCAGGAAAGGACCATCTCTGTCGGTGGGGTCTCAGGCATTCGGGCTCTGCCTATCCTGGAGTCTAGGTGGTCACCGCTTCAGGACAGGGGCTGGATGTCTCTGTCAACCTCTTATCTCGGTGTCCTCAGCCTTAGAGGGGACGAGATTGTATAAACCCAAGTCTCGCCCACCTCACGTGGTAGCTCCTAGCTGGAGGCCCCTGCATGATGAATATAGCAGCCAAGTTCTCAGTCACAGCGGCTACAAAGGGCGGGGGGGGGGGTGGCGCACGCGTTAGTTCTGCTTTTAGTTACTGACTGAGCATTGAGCATCGGGGCCCACGTGGAGGTCATGGTGCAGACAAAAGTGGTTTATAACTCCTCGCTGTTCCAGGAGAAGACACAAATCATGCTTGTAAGGAGCAGCAGCAAAGGTCCGGGGTTCCCCTGTCTGTCTCTCCTCGCCATGGTGATCTCTGTCTAGTGTCACAGCCGGGCCTCTGGCTCCTACACTGTCTTGTCGGTGGGGCCTGGGATGCCTCACATGAAGTTCTTTAAGGAACCAGATGCTCAGACTGCTCCTCGAGAGGCCATCGCAGTGCTGGCCTTGTGGCTGCTGGGTGACATTCTAGTAAACCTCAGCGCGTGCTCTCCAAGGACTCTCAGACCCAGAGGAGTGAAGCCGAGCTGTGGAGAAAGAACGCTGCCACACACTTTGCCTCCTTTAGTGCTTCATCCCCAGTCCTTTGTGGGAACCCACAGAAAACACGGCAGCCGTGGAGCTTGCTGTGGACGAGAGGGGCCCAAGACCCCGCCCTGGCCCAACCCCAGCCCCTCTGAGACCCAGGACACCTTCCTTCCCTTCCATCCCTAGCCCAGTGTGAGATTCAAAAGGCAGTGGGGCGGTGAGTGGGTCACGCTGTGGGGATCCCCTGGAGGCCATGGTGTCCTGCTGCTGTGAAGGCTGTTCTGAGGTGGCAATTCCTTTGTGCACAGACCTGATTTATGAGGTTGAGGCAAATTGGGGGGATAAATGGTCTTTGGGGCTGAAGCTTCAAAGGCAGCCGAGGCAGATCAGAGAGAGCTGATCTTGTTGGAGCGGGAGTGGGGTGGTGTAACAGCTCAGGCCTGGCTCAGCAGGCCTCCCATCCCCCTTGCTGGATGCAGTGAGGCAGAGATGGGGCCGCCACAGGCAGAGGCTGGAGGTAGACGTGAGCTCCTGCAGAGGCCCTGGAACAGAGGGCGGGCTGACCCTGGTGCTTCCTCTAACAACTGCGTAATTCTAATCAACACAGTCAGACCCCTGGCAAGGCCTCCCAAGCCCTGCCTCCTCCTGCCTCTCACAGTGACCTGGTCTCCCTCTGTGGGGGCCTCAACCCCTTCTGAACAGGAGAACCCAGGCATAAGCAAGCTCAGCAAGCTGGGTGTGGCCACAGGAGGCCGAGGCAGGAGGATTCCCATGAGTTTGAGGTCGATTTGGGCTACTTATTGAGTTCAAGGCTAGCCTGAACTGCCTAGAGACCCTGTCTCAAAAAACTAAAAGAAGTGGATAAACAGTGCCAGGATGATGTCCCTGAGTTCGGTCCATCTGATGCTGGCACCTTCTGTGCCATGAAAGCCAATCGTGCTGTGAGGTATTGAAACAAGGCCTCTGCACCCGCCTGCTTCACTCTGTAGTGACGCCAGCCTTGTGCCCCAGACCCCGCTGCTCCAGCAACAGCTCAGCCTACTATGGGCATCTCAGCCCCTCGCACATAGTAGGGACTCATCAGTTATTTGATGAGTAAATATATAACCTCTCACCGCCCAGAAGTTGATCTAGCAGGGTGGAAAGAGTGCTGGACCGGTGGGCGGGCTGGTTTCAAATCCAGCTCGCAGTCCTCCTGCCTCGTGGCCACAGTGAGGCCTTCTCAACCTCCGCGGCTCGGTTTCTGGACCTGCTGGATGAGTGGGGTGCCGGGGACAGTGCCAAAAGACTGTGTGGCTGGGAGTCCGCATCTGACTCTGGACGATGGTGCACTTTGCGGTCAGAGGTGATTTTGCCCATGCGGCAGGTGCGGCAGTATCTGGAGCCTTTCTGGGTGTGGGAGCATTGTGTGGGTGCAGGGGCTCTGCTGGCAGGCTCCGTGCACAGATCGGCCCCACAGCAAGCAATTTTCTGTCCCCAACCGTGGCCCAGGTTGAGAAATGCTGATGTCGTGACTTCAAGGCTCCTCAGTCTTCCCAGCTGGAGAATGGGGCGATAATCCCTCCTCCCATCTGTGAGCGCAGCTGGTCCCTAGCGGGCTCTTGGGATCAGGTTTCAGCGCCCTCCGGTGCACCCCACTTGGTCCCGCCCCCAGAACACCCGAGTCCCCCACCCCCACCCCAGGTGCAACCTGCTAGACTCAGCTCTGGGAGTCTCTCCTCCTCCTCCAAGTCTCGAGTCTCGCGAGATGCAATCGTGAGCATAAATAATGGGCGAGGAAATAGCCGGTGTGATAAATAGATCACTGCGAGCTAATGGTGCGTCTTTGCTGGAATCTTGTACAGTGAGCAGCTTCCAGCTTGGGAACTGTGTCAGGATATCAGGTTTTGATCTGCAGCACCTTGGTCTGTTAATAGTTAGCTCCAGCCATCTATGAAGTGGCAAGTCAGGGACTTGAGCAGCCCCCCAGCTGAGAGCCCGGGTAATCACCTGCATTTATCTTTCCCAGAAACGCAAACACGCCTCCCACCCCGCCTCTCTTAGCAATGCAGGGTATAGGACTGCACTGTATTGGCACCCGAACAGATCCCAGCATTTCCTTACCAGTGTTTCTGAATGGGGATTCCCCCTGGGAATTTGGGGAATCCTGCATGCATGAATGTCCCTGGTCATTTGTGCCAACCTAAGTGCCTTCGCCCATTTCCAGATGTCTTCTTGAGAAGGGTTCCCTGCTCTGAGCCAAAACCACCAATCCAGACCTGTCATTTTACAGGTATGAAAGTGGGGGCCCAGAGCGGGTGGGGCTCTCAGGCTCGGGTGCAGCGCTGGCTCTGATGTGCCCTTCCATGCTCCTTTAGAATTGCAGCTCGGCCCTGGACAAAGCGAAAGGGCTCAGCCACCAAGAAGTCGGCGATGCTTTTATTGGGGCGAGTGAGTTGACAAATGGCCTGGCTACCTGTGAAGTCACTTTATTTATCAGCTGGAGCGGTTTCAGATGGCAGCCGTTCCATCTCTGCTCCACACCTGCAGCTTACGGACTCTGCAGTGAATCCACGGCTGTCAACACTTCTGCTACTTTATAGGAGGAAGATGAGGGCAGTGGACCACTTCTGGGGGGTGGTCCCTGACCACATCAAGCCTGTCCACCACCAGCTTGGGTCTTGGGGCTGCCTGTTGTGCAGGCCGGGGCAGCACAGGGTCAGGGTCCCTCTCTGCTGGCATTGGGCACTACCATCTGCAGCGTGGGGAAGGCTGAGCTTTCTTGCTGGCCCCTTGCCGGCCATCTCTTAAAGGGCCCTTGAGAACAGAGGCCGCATGCTCTTGTCTGGAGGGTTTTCGGATGACTGTGGCCTGGGCCCAGGCACTGTTAGGTGTTCAATGATTTCAGAGCTGTCACAGGTGAGTCGGGCAGACTGAAGCCCCCTGGCCGGTGCTGATAAACAACCAAGCTGGGAGCGCTGCCCAAGGAGGTGGACTCCTGCAGCGGTGGGCAAAGTGGCTCTCAGGAGCCGGGAGCTGGGCTGGCCAGGGGCCTGTCAGCGCTGCGGACTTTTCCTGTGCCCATGGGCTGTGCATGAGCAGGGGCAGCAAACCACATGCAGTGTGAGGGCGCAGCCCAGCCCTGAGAACCCCACCCAGAGGACGCTAGGGCCAGCAGAGGAGCCGGGACACAAGACATCCAAACTAGCTACCATGCAAGTGGTGACAGACTAAAGAAAACAACAAATGACCCGATACTTGTTCCTAACAAAGAAAAGTCAATAAAGGCACAAAACATGTTAGCTGGCCTAAGGTACGGTGCCCACCAATGCACAATTTTTTTATTTGTGCTTTTTATAAATGATCCTTAAGCCAAGCGTGATGACCCACACTTGTTTTTCGTTTTTTTTTTTTTAGATTTCTTTTTTCTTTTTTTTTTTTTTAATTTAAGGAGAAAAGAAAAAAAAACAGTGAAGGGGTACAAGTTATACAGATTTACAGAAGAAAAAAATGCGCAGTAGGAAATCACTAGTTAATGGATTACATATGGCCATCTTAGAAATAATTGTTCAAGTCACAAAATTAAAGCTTGTAGAGTGGACATTCCAACAATGATACTGCAAACAGTTCTGTTCAATGATCCAATAAAACTCTGTGATATCATTTTCTATCTTATACACTTAAATATACATGCAGTTATATAGTTTAGAGCACTTTCTTTTCCTCTCTTTTGTACAAAGACTATTACACATTTTGGGTTTCATTGCTCCCACGGTTCTTATTGCTTTTTTGGAAGAGAGTAAAACCAAATGTGACATAACAGAACAGAATCGGTCAAGTCAAAAGGGTGGACATAATAGATAATATAAAAACATAATACAAGGTGATCAACAATGGTTACCATAATGCCTCCCGCTATTTCTAATAGAATTGCCTATATCATTAGTTGTAATACAATTGAACAAAACAGTAAAGAACAAAACCGACAAAACCAAAACATTGGAGACATTGTAGGTCTTCAAAAGTAGATAAAAGTCAACGAGAATGGGCGTTATAATGAATCTCATTATCTTCTCAGCTGATGCCTAAACTTTCGAACCTGATACTATCCAGCAAAACAGAATAGAGGAACCTCAGTCAAAAACAAGATGGTGAGAGTAATACAGGGCTTCAAATTGAGATAATAGAAAGGATGACCCACACTTGTAATTTCAACTACTTGGGAAGCTGAGGCAGGAGGATTGTAAATTCAAGGCCAGCTTAGGCAACTTAGCAAGACCCTGTCTCAAAGTAAAATCTTGAAGAGGCTGATGGTGTAGCTTGGTGGTAGAGCACTCACCTAGCATGTGCAAAGTCCTGGGTCCAATCCCTAGAGGCATAGTAAGAATAATCCTTGGGGGTTCCAAAAAGTACGTGTAGACTAGATGTATAATTCATTGATACCGAACTTGTCTATCAAGTAGGGGTCTGGTTTTGATATGCAGTACTGGCAAAAAATATCCTTCTATGCTGCTGTTCATGGCAACATTGACCACACTGTCCAGAAGTAAAAACAACCTATGTGTCCATCAGCAGAGGAATGGACTGGCCAAATGTTGTCCAAATGTTGTACACATACAACATGTACAGACATGTACATGACAGATGTATTACTCTGTCATGATGCTAAACTACTGATATGCTACTACATGAATTAGCGTTGAAAACATGCTAAATGAAGTAAGCCAGATGCAAAAGACTGACAGGGCACAATTCCACTCGTATGAAGTATCTAGGACAGTGAAATCCAGGAAAAAAGAGTTTACTAGTAGCTGAGGTGTGGCAGTGGAGACTTATTGACTAACTGGGTACAGTCTCTTTTGGGGCTGATAGAAAAGTTTGAAAATAGTGGTGTTAATGTACACACAATGTGAATGTAGTTAATGTAGTTAATGTAGTTAATGTAGTTAATGCCTTTGAGTTGCACATTTAATGTGATTAGCATGAAAAATTTGTATTTTTAACCTGATAGAAAAAAATTTTTGTCTTTTTCAGACAGGATCTCATTACGCAGTTCAGGCTGATCTTCAGCTCACATTGTAGCCCAAGCCGGTCTCAACCTTGCTATGTATGATTCTCCTGTACCAGCCTCCCAGAGTGCTGGGATTACAGGCATGTGCCACCATGACCTGACTGGAAAATTCATTTTTTTAAAATTAGATTTTATTGGTATGTTTTAAATATAAATAGTAATCACATTCATCGTGGAGAATTTGTACCTATACATGACATAACTTGATTTATTTCCCTATTCCCCTACCCTCCTGTCAACCCCCCCTCCTCTGAAAAATTCTAACAGAGCAAAAAATAAGTTATCTGAACTGAAGAGAATAAAATGCTGGTTGCTATGGCTTGTATCTAGATATCTCCCAAAAGCGGAAGCAGCTGGATTTAAAGCGAGTGATGCTGGGATCAGGGATGTAATGCTGGGATTGATTCATGGTGCTATGCTGTGGTTAAGGGGTGAGGACAGGTAGCCTGCATAACACATAAAGGACAGAGAGAGCTGTGTCATGGCTCATCTTGTCACTTGCTCTGCCTTGGAGCCGTTGGGCTGAAACTTCCACAAACTGTGAGCTAAATAAACCTTTCCTCCTCTAACTTTGGGTGTTGGGTATTTTGCCCCAGCACCAAGAAACAGTAACTAAGACCATGGGAAATAGCACCCATCAGGGAGAACTGGGACCCATGAACCCATGCCTGCCTAAGGTGCTTTGGAAAGTCACCCTCTGCCCTCCCGCTCTGGGCAGTCCAGGGTGGCTGTTACCACAGTCCACACTCCTACCCAGGCCAGGCACACCCAGGACAGCAGGTTTTCCCAGACTCCCACTTGCTTCCCCACTGTGTGACCTGGGACAAGTTATTTACCCTCGGGCTGGGGATTTAGCTCAGTGGCTTGAGTGCCTGCTTCGCAAGTACGTGATCCTGAGTTCGGTCCCCTGTACCAAAAAAAGTTATTTACCCTTTCTGAGCCTCTTTCCCATAGGTGCGAGACAGGAAGACAGGAATTAACAGGAATGAACCACAGTTACTGCCTTTTGCCTGTGCCTTCGCTAGGGCCTGGTAGTCGCTCTCAGAAAGCAGTTCCTGCTGCAGTCAGTGTTGGGGAACAGAGCTGTGCACACCGAGGACCCAGACATGCACAGGATCAGCAGGGAAGGGGCCCAGCTGCCAAGCTGCACACTTCCAGGTGTCCTTGGAGCCCTTGGTGGCTTCCCAGGGAAATAGATCCACTTGAAAAACCAGCTGAAGCCAGGTGTACTTAGGAAAGAGACCCCATGACTGCAAAAAAAAAAAACCAAAATCGTGAGAGTGGCGATGCCAGTTCCAGGCCAGATGGGACAGCATCCGGTCACCTGTGGAAGACTGCAAAGCCCTCTGTAACTCTTAATGATGACGGTGTTCATTTGCCTTCTGCCGAGGAAATAACCGACTCTGTCGCTCTGCTTCATTGCTTTGTCATTGCCTGGGAATGCGGATTGCTAAGTGAATTTTCTAAATCCCTGTGACCTAACATTTTCTCCCCGTTCAACCGCTGGGAAGAGATTTATACACTTATACGGCTTATACACTTCCCTGCTTCCCTAATCAGAATAGTCTAAACTGAGTGTGGCCTTTCCCTGTCACTTTTGTGTTCATGGCGGTGGTTTCTCACTATCCTAGAATACTACCCTTGCCACCTACTTTTAGAGACCTCATCAGATATGCAGAGGCAAGCACACACACATGTGCACACACACCTGGGGAGAGAGCTAGTGCAGGACTTTGCGACAGCGTCCTACATCCCTAAGCAGACACGTAGTTTTGCCTCCCGTAGGTTTTGGCTGTGCCGGGGAGAGCGGTGCTCCCCTGGGCCCCCAAGCCACACCAGAGGCCCTGGGAGCTCTGAGGACAAACTGGTCTTGGGCTCCAGCGATTCAGTTCGGGCGGGCACCGTGGTGCAGTGAATGAAGGAATTTCTTACTCTGGATTCTGAGGCCATTGACAATGATGAGCAGAGAGAAAGTGGCAGTTTCTGTGGTGTCCCTGGCTTTGTGCACTGCAGCTTTGTCCTGCCCCTTGTGCCACCTCTTAAGTTCTCCTTTGGCTTGTCCTCCAGCATGTGCCCGTTTACCTGGCTGGCGGAACCGGAAACAGAAGATCTGCCCCCCCCCCCATGACCTTAAACACCCACTTAGCCTTCTGGCTCTTTATCTCCCCATCTGGAAAATTGGGGAAATAATAAAACCAAAATCACAAAGTTGTACAGATTGAGCTTTGTTAATGTAAGGAAAACTTCCAAAATGTGTCTGGCGGCCAAAATGTGGTCACCGTTATGATGGAGTCATCTCTTATGTGCAGCAAATTTATGTCAATCCACCCCATGAATTTGGCAACAAAGAAAAGATAGAGAAATAGCACGGCTAGGTGTAGTAGTACACACCTGTAATCCCAGGAGGCCGAAACAGGTGGATCTCTTTGTGTTTGAGGCCATCCTGGGCTACATAGTGAGTTCAAGTCCAGCCTGAACTACATAACAAAACTCTGCCTCAAACAAACAAAAATGCTGCCATGAGTAATTCTTCCAGTATTTCTTCTCCCTGGGTTTGTGTCCCGGAGACAGGGTGGGATGGGAGACCTGGTTTGCTGCTTATTGGCTCTGTCCTGTAGCCTCTGTTGGTGTGAGTGGAGACTGTCACTAGAAGGGGACTTGGCTTCTGCCTATGATGCCAGGTGGAAAATGTGGGATGTAGGTGACTCATAACTTGGCAGCTCAGTTTGTTGTGTGAATATTTAGGGCACAGAAGAAGAAGAGAGGGACCTGCGGGGTGTCAGGACTTGGTGGTTCTGTTTGTTAAAGAATGATAGACAGGGGCTGGAGATTTAGCTCAGCGGCATAAGCGCCTGCCTTGCAAGCAGGCAGTCGTGAGTTCGATCCCCAGTACCAATAAAAAGGAAAAAGACAAAAAAAAAAAAAAAAATGATAGACAACTCTGTGACATTGACCCCTTGACCCTAGTGAGCTAGGGACATTAGATCAGGGGGCCAATGGAGCGATCATCCCATCAACTCTTTACCCCCAAATGTCCTATGGCCTCATTGGCCACACTGAACCTTACACTTTCCTGCATGCACAGCAGTGGAGCACCACTGTGCCTTTGGTCATACTGAGCCTACCCTGGTGGCACCTTCCCAATCCTACTCCCTATATTTTAGTCACTCTCCCATCATTGGGACAAAACACCCAACACCCACAATTTAAAGGAGGAGAGGTTTATTTTTGACTCACTGTGTTTAGTGGGGTCAGTCCATGGTCAGCTGACTCCAAGGTAGAACCAGTATGGGGAAGGACCAGCCAAGGCCAGCTGTTCTTCCCATGCACCAGGAGGCAGAGACAGAAAAGTGAGGAGCTGGGGACAAGAATATGCTTTTTCAGGGATGAACGCACTGAGTAGTACACATCCCAGAGATCCAGTCACCTTCCGAACACATGTGACCTGTGGGGGACATTTTTAGGCTAAACCATAATACTCTGGACTAGAAACCTAGACAGCAAAGACCAAGTGATCACCTGCTGATCATCCCTGTGTCTTCAGGCAGTAAGCACAGTAATGAAACTTTCTAGCTCACCCAGGACTGACGGACTTCCCAGAACATGGGACATTGAGCACTGAAAGCAAGCCAGATGGCCACCCTAGTGGGCAAACTAGTGAGCCGTCTTTTACAGCGCCCTGGAGACACCTCTGAGGAGGCCCTGCCTGGTCTCCTTAGCTGGGAGCAATCTTTCTCTCTGCTGAACCTCTGGAACGTTCCTTCTGCCTCTCCATGCCTAAGCTCCATACCCTGCCCCCATGCCAGAATTCACATCAGCGGGGCTGCACTTTATGGGCAGCTGGTGTGTCCTGTGGCACTAGGTGAGGGGCAGCAGAGTGGGCGGCCCTCCCAGGCCCTACCACTCAGTCCCTTTCCTCAACTGCAGTGTGCATTTCTGGAAAGCTGGTGCGGCCATCACTCTTTGAAACATTTAATTACATGTAAAGATCTTGCAGGCTGTCTGTCACCTCCTGGGGCAACATTTCTTTTTTGGACTCCTTCTGAAGCTAACAGCTTGGGAAGTAATGAAATTGAGCTGAAGATGAGGTGACCAGGGGCCACAGATATTACTGAAAGGGCAAAGGAAGACGGGCCCGGGGAGGGGCAGAGTGGGAAGGGTTGTCCCCAAAGCAAGAGCCTAGGAATGAAAAACACTCAGGCGTGAGCCTGCGATGGCGGGCAAGACAGGGAGAGGAATGGGAGCCAGGCTGGGCTGTGAGGGACTAAGAGGTCCAGGGTCACAGAGAAGGGTCCTGCCAGGTTCGGAGGGGACAGGCCTTGTGGGGTCGACACTGTGACCACCGTCCAGGAAGAGTAAAGACAACAGTTGTGACCCTGTTTCCATGAAGAGGAAGAGGGGCCTAGGGGAGCGCAGGGCCTTGAAGCTGCACCGGTGAGTCCTCTGCCGGGGTCTGCTGCTGTGACTAGGTGCAGGTTGGAAGAGCTGACCTGGCTGCAGTGCCTGCTGCTTCCACCAGGACAGCAGCCATGCAGACACCGGCGGCTGCTCGGGCATCGGTCCGACCCCATTCCAGGCCAGCCCTGGAGACGCTTCAGCCCGCCGGTCCTCTGTCTTGCAGGCTGCGACAGCGACCACTGGGGCCCCCACTGCAGCAACCGGTGCCAGTGCCAGAACGGCGCGCTGTGCAACCCCATCACTGGCGCCTGTGTGTGCGCCGCCGGCTTCCGTGGGTGGCGCTGCGAGGAGCTCTGCGCGCCTGGCACCCACGGCAAGGGCTGCCAGCTGCCTTGCCAGTGTCACCATGGCGCCAGCTGCGACCCCCGCACGGGCGAATGCCTCTGTGCGCCGGGCTACACGGGCGTCTAGTGAGTACCACGGGGGCGGGGCTAGGGGCGGGGTTAGGGGCGGGGCTTCCAGGGAATAACCACGGCCCAGAGGGGAGGGGCCTGGGGACGGAGCAACAGAGGGGGGTACAGTGAAGAGTGGGTGCCGCGATGAAGCAAGGGCTGGGAGGGGCCGGAGAGAGGATGGGCGGGCGATAGCGGAAAGAGGCAGGGCCTACCTAGCCGTGGTTCTGGGTTCTAGAGCAGGGTAGGGTGGTGGGAGCAGAAGCAAAGTCTGGGTGGTCCTGAGTGACTCTAGTATCCTGGCCCCAAGTGCAGCAGATTCTAAGTACCCAGGCCTCGCCCACGTGGGGTCTCAAGCCCTGCAGTGACTGGTCCCATGAGTGCCACCCCCAGCAGAGAAGCTAATCAAACACCTCCCGTGGGACTTCCTGGTGACAGCCCCCACCCCCACCCCTAGTTAGCGTGGATTTCTCGTAACTCACGCTTCTGCGCACCTGGAACTGGGTCGATCCTTCCCTGCCGTGTGGTGGTGAGAGCCTAGGACAGACATGGTGCACACGTTGGCACACTTTCTGTGCCTGTTCCTTTCTTGCTTTCTGTCCTCAGACCCCAACAGTCCCTCACCCCAGCTCCCTGGAAAGTCCCCTCTGCCTGGCGATCTCTAGGGCTGCTTAGTTGACACCCAGTCCTCTCCCAGGCATGGCAGAAAGGGTCTACAGGCTGTGCAGCAGCCCCAGATCCTGAAGGCGCAGTCGAGGACTCTGCCCACAGGGATCCTTCTCCAGTGCCCGCTCCAAGGCCCTCTGAGCTGGAGGCCAGGCCTTTGGAGAAGACCTAGGCTACGATCCCATGCTGCCTTCCCGGTGCAATTAGAGACAAGCTGAGGCACCCCCCCCCCTTCATTCAGCTGTGAACACCGCACTACCCTGGTGGTTTTCCAGTCTTAACCTAGGAGGTCTCGAAGTTTGCTGACATCAGAGTGGGGGGGCCTCCTTGCTTTAGTGATGTCTGACCCTATAAATACTGGAGGCCTGGGTACTGAGCACCTTTTCTCCCTTCTCACTGAGTCCCTTTTCCCTGTCACTCACTTTTCCCTTCTCCCTTCTTGTTCCTGCTGCAGTCCCGTGATCTTCTATAAATGGAGCTGCTTATGACGGCTACAGGGTGTGGGCTTGGCACCTCTTTCCCTGCCCTACTCAAGAACCCGGACTATTTTGGGCCCACTTAGTTATAGCACTCCCCGGCCTCAGCAGTGCCCAGTCAGCACACATGGTAGCAGGGACCTGAGCATGGAAAGGACAAGCCCTCAAGCCGCCCCTCTTTACACTGGAACCTTTAACTCATCGCACAGTATTGGTCCAAGCGCCCTGCACACTAATGTATTACACCCGAACTCTGACGCCCCCTCCTGGCAGGGTCTGGGACTGCATCTCATTAATTCCTAGGGAGCCCTGGATTGTTGGGGCACCCATGTGAATTCTGCTGTGCCTAACACCCATTCTTCTCCCTCCAGCTGTGAGGAGCTGTGTCCCCCCGGGAGCCATGGTGCTCACTGTGAGCTGCGCTGCCCCTGCCAGAATGGGGGTACCTGCCATCACATCACTGGCGAGTGTGCCTGCCCTCCAGGATGGACGGTAAGTGGCCCCTGGGATTTGGGTGCAGCTTTGTAAGAGATCTGGAGCGTCCTTCACACAAGCATTGAAAGGCTAAGTTCCTCTTCCACCTTGAGTACCCACCCCAAGCCATCCTTGGTGCTGTGGACACAGCCTTGAATCCCAGGTCTTCCATCTAACTGGTGTGTGACCTGTAGCAAATTATTTAACAAAGCTGGTGTGACACAGTAAGCTGGCCGAGGCTGTGTCCCCAATGCCTTGTGATACCCGATGCAGTCTAGAACTGCTTGGGTTGTTCTGGTTTGTTTTTGATGCTAGGAATTGAACTCAGGGCCTTTGCTTGAACTACACTCCAGCCCTTTTTATCTTGTATCTTGAGACAAGGTCTTACTAAGTCATCCAGGCTGGGCTCAAACTTAATGATTCTCCTGCTTCAGCCTCCCAGAGTGCTGGGATTGCAGGTGTCCCCCACCACATTGGATGCCCTGAATGCACAGTCCCCACAAGCCTCCTTTCAGCTGTCACCCTCCTCTGCCCCAGCCCCAGAGCCTTGAGGCCACTGAGCTGGCTCTCCTGGGCTGTGCCCCACTTCTGTGTCCCTAGCCACATGAGCCGTTTTAGAGGAACCCCAGGCACAGGGGCTGCCTCCTCCAGGGCTGAGGCCAGGGGTGCTGGGCAGAAGCAGGACATTTCAGAAGGTGTTGGGGTCACCAGGGCAGTGGGAGAGTGGGCACAGCTGTAGGAAAGGACCTCATGGAGCAGAACCCAATGCATAATGAGGGGCAGAGGCCACAGGTTTGGCTCTGGGTTCATAAATAATCCATCAAGACACTAAGGTCTCCTTCCATATTCTGCCAACCTTTTGGGTTATATTGGGCAAGAATGGGGCAGCAAGCCTCATAATTGGGACTCTGCTCCATCTTAATATTCTGTACCAAGAGGCTAGCTAAGAGTTTACATAAAACAGCACACCTATGATCCTAGGACTTGGGAGGTTCAGGCAGGAGGATCCTTGGCTCAGGCTGTATTGTGAGTTGCTAAAAAGCAACAAATAAATGAACAAAACAAGCCTCTCTGGGCTTGAAGACAGTTGAACACACCAATCTGTCCATATCTTTCTTTCTCAGAAGAGGAAGTTGAAGTCAGGGAGGACTAGTGAGCTTGAACCCCCAGCCTTTGGTGTCTGTCTCTGTCTGTCTGCTTTGAGGCATGTGAAGGAGCTGATGTCACCTCTCCCAGCCCTGCCTGTCCCTCCCCACCACATATGCCCTCTGGAGGGGCCCTGGCTCTTCAGCCAGGCTCCAGAGAGTCCTGCCAGGCTGCAGCCTGCAGTGGAGGAGGAGTAGGGGAGGCAGCCGGCACATGGAAGCATTTTTTTCCTCCCTAACATAGTGAGAGGTTTGTTCTCCCAGATGACAGGAAACTCTGTCAATAGAAACCTTTGGATTTGAGGACTTTATGTTTTTAATTTTATTGCAGACAGTCGCATTTCTATTTTTGACCTAGCATTTAACTTGCAGATTTGCATGAATTATTAATGCCCCTCGTGTATGCGGAGCCACTGGGTAACAAAGCTGCAGCATGGGTCTGAGGCTGCAGCCAGGGAGAGCTGGGGCTAAGGTGAGGACCTGGGAAGGGGTCCCTGCTACCGTTTCCCATTGTGATCATCTGCATCGTCTGACTTTCCTGTTGGCTCCTCACGTTGTCCCACTCAGATGGAGGAAATAAGATTGTTCATTCACACCTTGCTCCCCAAGGAATGCTGCAGAGCTGGAGAGCAGCTACCAGAAATGCTAGGACTGCAGGTCACCACCCAAGAATGTCACTGGCTGCACCACTTGCTGGGCCACCCCGAGCCCTTTCTAGGAGGACAAAACAGAAAGCCCAGTTGGGAATGGCTCGGTGGGAGAGGGCAGTGGAGACAGGCAGGGAGGGAGAAGGGGATTCCATCGTCTGAGGGTGCAGGCTGGGTGATGTGTGTACGTGTGTGCACATGCATATATACACAGCAATGCGGCGAGCACCCTGGAGACTCCACGAGTGACCCAGTTGTAGATGCTTGGATCTGGGAAGTGTTGCTGTGGCAGCGTCCTGCCAGGCCTGCAGTGACTGTCGACGCCACAGCTCTATGCCAGCCACTGTCCCACACCTGGACAGCAGCCGTCAGTGGAACGTGTTCCAGTGCATGGAGAGGTTGAGCTGTCTCCTCAGGAGCCCCCAGACCCTTTGGCCATCTTGGCCCCTTCCTTTCATATCTTCCACTTGGCCATGGTCATCTGAAAGTGCAACTGGTTTCCAGATTCTGACCCCGCATGGTCTTCCATCTGTGTGTCCGTGTCAGTTCCTCTTCTTGTACGGACAGGAGAGAGATTGGATCAGTGCCCACCCATAAGGGCGTCTTTACCTCCCCACCTCCGTAAGGTGCTGCCGCCAGCACAGCTCCCTGCTGATGGAGCGACGGCTTCAGCGTGGAAGTTTTGAGGGGGTGCAATTCAGCCCATCGCAACAGGCAACAGAACCCCTCTGAAGTTGCTTTCCCTGCACGTGCTGTCACATGGCTGTCTCTGCTCTTCTGAGTCCTGGTCATACAGGGCTCCTAGGCATGCTGCTTGGTGTCAGCTCACTCATTAGCACTGTGGCAGGTTCGTTCAGCTCTGTAACCTCAGTTCATCTGGACAGCACCTGGGAGCTCAGCGGCTGCCACTCCCGGTCTGTAGAAGAGAAAACAGAGCCTCAAAATGACCTCCCAAGATTCTGCTGGCTCAGCCCTCTGGGGTTTGAGCCTGAGTGCTGCCTCTGAGCCCAGCCTTTTTCCCACCACACAAGGCAACTTGTAAGGACTCTGATTCTTTCAGGCCCCAGGAGCTCAAGCCAGAGAGGTCTAGAGCCTCAAGGGCCTTGGGAGTCTGCAGTTTGGGAATCCTGCAGAAGGAGCAGAGGCACTGGAAGCATTCAGCATGCCACATACTCCTGGAGCTTGTGGGATATGGGGAAATGACCCCCGACTCCTGCATACACGCCGATCCCTCTCTGCTTGCCGCCCCCTCTGCCCTCCATCCTCCCTCCTTGCAGAACCTTGCGGGCTGACATTCGTCCGCTTCATTCATCACGACTCAATTAGACGCCAGGAGGCAGACTGTAGTCTGGCCGGCTTTTTTGGACTAAACTCACTTCGTCGATTATTGGTGCTGAACTAATTGATGAATTAATTAGAGGATCAGTCTTGATCTCCAGAAGAGAAAGGATTCTTTCTGGTGTGTGAGAGGCTGGATGGGTGATGGCAGATGGGGCAGGCTCAGGTGTCTGCGGGGTAAAGATGTAAGATTCATTCATACGGGCTCAGAGTTTTATCAAGTGGTATCAAGGCAAATACCAGAGAGGACGGAGAAAGGAAAAACAGTCCCGGGCTGGCTCCCAAGTCACGGAGACAAACACTTTGAAGTGTTTTAGATGGTCCTCCTGGGAGAGCCCTCCATTTTTCCATATTCCATGCTTTCCTGCCACTTCCTGCCTTTTTCCTTTTAGATATTTGTTGATCTATTTTGACTTCCTGCCAGAGAGTAAGATATAGCTCCCCCGTGCACACATGCACAGACACAAGCAGTCCTGCCCTCACCCTCCCAGTGGAGCCACATTTCCATTTTTGGTTGAATCCTTGTTTATGTTAATATGTCCAAGTATGTGCTGTTACCGATTTGTTCCTCCAGCTCTGGGACAGAAGTCGAACATTCTTCTCAGTAAGATCCGACATGCTGGAAGTCTCTCAGCTAGTTTTTGCTTTTGCTTTGTCTTGGAGGTGGAGGCAGGCTTTCAGAAGCCTATGTGCTTCTGTTCTGATTCAAACGCTTTGCTTGCCGGGTCTCCTGTGAGGTTATCATCTGGAACTTTCTTTCACCATCATTATGAGGTTCTCTCTTCCGTTCCCTGGTCCCTGGGACCCAGGCTTTGTTTTTGCTTGGATAATTTCTTTTTGGTAGAAGAAAATCCACCAGTCACTATCCAAGACATATCCTTAGAAAGATAATCTTGAGGTTATTTGAATCCATATGGAACCCCTGCTTCAGTGTTAGTCTAGCTGGGTGTAGAATTCTAAATTGGAAGTGATTTTTTTAGGCATTACACCATTGTCTTTTTCATTTTTATCAGTACCAGGGATAGAACTCACGACCGCCTGCTAGCAAGGCAGGTGCTTATGCCGCTGAGCTAAATCCCCAGCCCCTACACCATTGTCTTTTAACTTCTTATCAAGAAGTCTAAGAACTTTTGAATCTTGATTTTCAGATGTGACTATCTCTAGAAGCTTTGTGGCTTGTTTCTTTAGTCAGCTTTCTCAGCACTGAGACTTAATAACTGTTACGGATTAAGAACTGGTGGTCAACTTAATACCAGCTGGATTACATCAGTCTGGCACTGAGCAAAGATGCTCTACCTGAGGAAAGTTGCCAGCATAAATAGGTGGAGAAGGAGAAGGAGAGTGTTAAGGCATTGAGGTGTTAATGTGTTGAGGCATTGTGGGTTCTCCATGAGTTGCTGTTTGAGCCATTGGTTCTCCTGGAGAAGCTCTGGTCCTCACATCAAGCATTGCTTCCTGGCTCTGGAGGGAAAGACATGGGCCGCTTTGTCTCCAGGATGAACTCGTCACGCTGCTTCCTGGCAGGTACCCCGACTGTGCTTATTGTCGAAGGAGCTTGGGGCCTCCGTGTCGCTGAGGATGGCTGTGGTGCTTTTCAGGACAGCCCTGGTCTTTGTTGTGAGTGTGACTAATGGGCTCCAGCGTAAAACCCTCATCCCACAGCTCCTTCACTCTGCTGGCGTAGACTTTCTGGCTTCCACCGGTGACCTTTGGGCCTTCCTGGCATAGATCCATAAAAGAGACTGGTGTGAGTCCTTTTTGTGGGCTCTGGACCTCCAGCTGGACTCGAGAGAAGCATTGTCATGAGCTCTGGGTTTTCATCTGGACTCATGTGGGACATTGCTATGGGATTTAGGCCCTTGACTAAATAATCTATGTCTTTGGTGTTGGGGATAGGTTTCCTGCATTTTCTTGTGTTAACACCATTATAAAAATATTATAAACTCCACGTCCTGATTCTAGTTGTTCTGTGACAACCCCTGACTACAATACCCAACATCCACTTAAAGGAGGAGAGGTTTAATGTGTTCATCATGACATTCTGTGGCCCACTGGCTCCAAGGCAGACATCATGGCAAAAGGGTGTGATGGAGCAGAGCTGCTTAGTGCATAGCGTCAGGAATCACAGCCAGGGAAGAGTGCCAAGGGAGAAGAGGTGAGGGACCAGACACCCCCCCCAGGCCACCTCTGTGGCCCCCGGCACACCAGAAGTGTACTGTCGTAACCAGGTAGGAAGTGCCCTAACCACCATGTATTGTTGGGCGCAGACGCTCAACATACCATACCCCAGCCGGGACTAAGGACCACGCCAGCTTCCGCAATGCGCTATGTCCCTCTTTAAATTAGCCAACCCGTGCGCACTTCGTGCTCACTCCGTACTCTGTGGCAACCCCTGATTGGCCACAGCTGGATATAGTAGCCAGAGCCTGCGTCCCATTCCCGCCCTGCTTCCTCGTGGCAGCCTGTGATTGGTCACGGCCAAATATATAAACCAGAGCCCGCGTAAATAAAGCAGCAGTTAACTGTCGCCCACAAGAGCGTCTCCTGTCTCATTGGGGGGCTGCGCCGGTCAATGTATACCTTCAGCTAGGTCTCTTCTTGGCCCTTTGTTTGTTTTTTACCTCTCTCCCCCCTTCCCCTTCCCTCCCTTCCTTCCTTTTTCTTTCTTCTTTTTCTCTAACTAAATATCCTCCAGGTCCTTTCTGTTTAGAAGTCACCTTTCCACCCTTTCATGCTGGAACTTGTTCTTTTACTGTGTTTCCCATTACATTTACCCACTTGCATTTTTCTTGTTCCACAGTCTAGAACGTCTGAGAACTAGGTATCAGACCACCCACACTGGTCCTCTAACTTGATTATATTTTCCTACTGTATTTAGTTCTTTATTTCTACTTCATTGGATATTTATACTTGTCATTCTTCTGTTGCAGTGTTAACATGTCTGCTGTCTTATTTTTCATCTTCCAGAACTCTCTGTATACCCGTTTTGCAGCACTCAGTCCTTCCACAGAGGAAATATTTTCTGATAACTAGCTGCGTGAGAATAATCATGATAGGGAGTTTTTATTATTTCATTATGAATTATGACACAGGGTTATTTCTTTCTTCTAAATGGTCTCTGCTCCTGGCAGATTTCTGTTTCCTCTGTGTCCCTTTGTCTTTTGTTTCAGTCTTCGTCTTTTTTTTTTTAATTTTATTTAAGGAGAAAAAAGAAAAAAACAGAAAAAGGGTACAATTTATACAGAATTTCAGAAAAAACAAACAGTAGGAAATCACTAGTTAATAGATTACACATTGTCATCTTAGAAATAGTTGTTCAGGGGCTGGGGATTTAGCTCAGCGGCATAAGCACCTGCCTTGCAAGCAGGCGGTCGTGAGTTCGATCCCCGGTACCGATAAAAATGAAAAAGACAAAAAAAAAGAAATAGTTGTTCAAGTTACAAAATCAAAGCATATAGAGTGGACATTCAAACAGTGAGACTGCAAACAGTTCTGTTCAATGATCCAATAAAACTCGGTAATATGGTTATCTATCTTATACACTTAAATACACATGCAATTATGTCCTTTAGAGCACTTTCTTTTCCTCTCTTTTGTACAATGACAATTACACATTTTGGGTTTTATTACTCCCACTGTTATTACTTTTTTTTTTTAAGAAAGTAAAACCAAAAAAAAAAAAGTAAAACCAAATGTGACATAATAGGACAGAGTCAGTCAAATCAAAAGGATGGACATAATACATAATGTAAAAACAAAATACAAGGTTACCATTCTGTCTCTTGCTATCTTAAGAAGAATTGCCTAAATCATCAGTTATAATAAAATTGAACAAAACAGTAAAAAACAAGACCAATAAAACCAAAACATTGGAGACATTAGAGGACTTCAAAAGGAGATAATAGTCAACTAGAATGGGCGTCACAATGAATCTTATTGTCTTCATAGTTGTTGCCTATACTTTCGAACTTGGTACTATCAAGCTAAGCAGAATAGAGGAAAATCAGTCAAAACAAGATGGTGAGAGCAATACAGGGTTTCAAATCAAGTTAACAGGAAATCAGTGTGGGTTACTATAATATATCCTGCTATTGTTTATTTTTTCCCTTAATTAAAAGGATAAAAATGAAAAAGTAGATAATAAAAAGAAGATTGAGATAAAAAAGAGGGCATAACAACAAAACAGCATGGGTCAAAACATAGCCATTTAAGCAAAATAGTGTTTCACCACAAGATAATCCTGACATAATAGTAGTTACCATAGTGTCTCTTTCCTTAAAATCTTTGGGTATAACTTTGTATACTGTAGCATCAAACATATCAAGACAATGTAAAACTGTTCAAGAGAATGACAGTATTACAAGGTATTTAGAATCAGCTAACAGAAAATGAACAATGGTTTCTGCATAATCTCCTTGTCTATAAAAGTTTTTGTTTATATTATCACATATAATAAAATCCAATAAGATACAAGAGATATGGAGACAGAAGAACAAAAGCTTGTTGGAGCCTCATCGTCTATGAAAGGGTCCCTGTTTCTCACTCACCGCAGGTCCATGCAGGGCTCCCTGCCAGTCCCGCTCTCAATGCCGTTTGGTTCGCCGATTCCTGCTCTCAGAGCTTTCGCCCGTCTCTCTCCCTGCCGTGCTGATTGGGACGCAGCTGCGGCAGCAGGAAATTCAAATCGCAGCCTCCAAAGGCGTGGGATCCAGCTTCAGTGCTGAGATTTTATCTGTTCTGGTTATAGCACCGGGATTGCATTTCCAGTTGGTTTCTCTCAGCTTAGTTTGTTCCTGGGTCGGCAGGGCACATCTCCCCTCGCTTAGGACTCCTCACAGGGCACCGCTCCTGGATTCTAAACTGGTAATCTCAGAGAGCCTCCGTGGCTGCTGTTATTTGTCTGCCATGTTCTCCTGGAAGTCCCTTTCTTTTTTATTTTTTTTTAAGGGATACTGGGGATCGAACTCATGACCTTGAGCTTGCCAGGCAGGTGCTTACACGGCTGAGCTAAATCCCTGGCTCTCAGTTTCCATCTTGCATGTGACAGTCAGTTCCAAATGGCTCAGGATCTTTGGCCTTCTGCTCATGCATCACAGTGACCCTTAGAGAAGCCAGCTGAAAGTCTTTGGGTGGAAGGAGGAGCCAGGCTACTGCTGCTGCTACTGCCTTCTCCTCCTCTTCTCCCTCCTCCTCCTTCTCTTTCTCCTTCTCCTCCTCCTCTTCTTCTGGGACAGGGTCTCACTATGTAGCCCAGGCTGATCTTGAACTTGTGGGAATCCTCCTGCCTCGGCCTCCTGAGTGCTGAAATTATAGATGTGTACCCACCATGCCTGTCTAGTACCAGGCTTCTTGAAGGATGGCATCAGTGACTGGAGGTCACTTCTCCTGGGCTCATCAGTGTGCCCCAAAAGGGATCTTCCAGCTTCCTGCCACATGGAGCACAGTCTTCAGGCAGCATTGTGGGGGTTGAACTGGGATGGGAACTACTCCCCCCTGCCATAAGCAGTGTCCCTGCATGCAAAGCCTGCATGGTCAACATCACAAAAGGACACAGGGAGTTGCCTGGCTGTTGGAAGTCCCGGCAGCGATCGAAGGTCTGGTCCCTTCTTGTGCAGCCTCCAGCCCATCCTCTTTTCAATACAGCCTCCCCTCAAGCTTCCGAGGATGCACCTGAGTTCTGAGCTCCTCTGAGCCAGAGGGGTCTCGGTCACCCAGCATCACCATGGTTTTCCCGCATACCCTTTGCGGCTGCTTAGCACTGCAGGGGAAGCAGGAACCCAGTCACCGATTGCACCTGCAGCTGCTTTCCCAGCTCGTCTTTGTATCCGCATAGCTGACCCAGCACCTGGTATCTACACAGCAGGCATGCACTAGAGGTGCCCAGGATGACTGCATGGGCGGACTGGCCTCCCCGGCCGTGTCTCTCAGATGAGGGCTTTGGAACCATGCTGTCCTGCTCTCCCTGCAGTGCTTCCCGGGACCCTGAAGCTCTGCCATTGCCAGGAGTCGCTGTGGCACCGCTGAGCACTGCCACCCATGTCTTCCTGCCTCTGTTTCAGGGAGCAGTGTGTGCCCAGCCCTGCCCACCGGGGACATTTGGCCAGAACTGCAGCCACGACTGTCCCTGCCACCATGGAGGACAGTGTGACCATGTGACTGGACAGTGCCACTGCACAGCTGGATACATGGGGGACAGGTAAGGATGGCGGACTTGGAGCTGGAGGAGGGCATTTGTCTCCTCCCCATCACTCTGTCCCCGGGGCCTCCTTGAGCATCCGTAAGAAGGAGGTTGTCACACTCCTTGCCTGGGTCTTTGACTCCTGGGTTTTGTTCCTTGGCCAAGACAAAATGAAAGGAGAGGAACACTGTTTACCATCCCACTGCCTCCCCTTCCTGGGTGACATCAAGAAGCAGGATCAAGGATAAGTCACCCAGTGAGTCTTTCTAGCTCTGAGTGATTAAATCAAAGCTCCTGTCCCTAGAATCAGCCCCAAGCTGCAATGACATCCAGAAACATCATCGGACCCATGAGCTCTGTCCTGAGTCTTGTAGGCCAACACCATCTCTTTGCCAGCCAGAGAGGACCTATAGGGGTTTCCCAGCTAGGAGCCTGGGGTGTGGTGTAATGGGATCCAGGACTGAAGCACCGAGCCCAACTCCCACCGCACCATCACCCCAAAAATATGGAAATGCTCAGGATGAGCCAGTGAGAACCAGAACCAGGAAAACTCAAAACCAGAACAGGACCCCTGTTTATTTCCTTATCTGACACCAGCCCCCCAGGGCTGCCACGTAGCCCCTCTGCAGTGGTGGCGAACCTGTGGCACACATGCCACAGTGGGCTGTTGGTATCACTGAAAGCTCTGTCACTGTGTTTTTCTTTGAATGTATCGGTTGTGTTTTTTCTAAACCAAAATCTCAGTATTCAGGTTTAATTGCAGTGTTGGCCCTTTGCAATAAATAAGTGGGGTTTGGGTTACAGTTTGGGCACTCCGTCTCTAAAAGCTTCACCATCACTGCCCTACCTCATTGGCTGTCAGCCTGTGCTGCTGAGACAAACTGAAAGACAAATAGTCCAGAGTCTGGGAGCCCAAGCCATGATCCTGGGTCAGGGAGAAACCCCCAAAGCCAAGGGGTACACTCCAGCATGCTTCGCCAATCAAGCCTAGGAGCGTTCAATCCGAGGGCCAGGTAGCATTTCCGATTCCCCCCTAAACAGGCTGCCTGGTGTTTGATATTTTGTAAAATTGCCTCCATTAATTTCAGAGGTGACAGCCGCATTAAAGCCACCCCAAATCATCACCAGCATATTAGAGCTGAGCGGGTGTAATAAGGCAGGTCTCCCCAGATAGGCAGAATCCAGTGCAAATTAAACACAAAACATAACGAGGGCTTTGCAGCTCATTTTGTAATTTAATTGAGCAATGTATCTGGTTGTTAATGGTAATATCAGACACATTAGATTGATATGTTGCACAGGACGGATGTTTAAGTAGAGAACTAATTCCTGCTGTGATTACCCTTCTGTTCCTCAGACCTGTTATTAGTGTGCTTTGTGTAAAATTCATTAGCAGTCATTGCTTGATCTCTAAATAAATAAGTTGTTTCAGTTGTGAAGAGGGGAAAAAAATAAAAAGAAGCTGATTATGTAAATGGATTAGGTTGTCATTATGCCTAGATTTTTTTTTTTTTTTTGGCCTTGAGGCTGTGGTGCCCTGAGTCACCCCAAAAATATAGCAGAGTGGAGAATTAGCCTTTAAAGGAGCTCTGTGTCCAGGGCACTGCCCCGCCTGAGCGGCAAGAGGCAGGAATATTTGAGAGAAGGCAGGGAGGAGTCTTCCTGCCTCCCAGACATCTGGGGTTAGTGAAGCTCTGAGACCAGAGTCCGCTCGGATAGTGACTGACTGCTCCCGGTTGCCATCTTCTGCCTCAGTTTCCTCCTTCCTTCTCCCTCTTACCTCTTCCTCCTTCCGTCCTCCTCCAGGCCTCCTCTCCTTCCTTCCCATCTCCTGTTTCTTCTGCTTTCCCGTTGTCAGGACTCCCATTGGTTGAGAGCAGCAAGATTGGCAGGAAGATGATCTGGGGTCACCTTGGCCACTTGCAGGCTCTGTGAGCTTGGACCAGTCCCCTCACCCACCTCAGCCTCCTCAGCTCCAAAGTGAGGGTGGTGAGGATCTTGCTGCTGCAGGAGCCAGGGATGGTGGCATCGTGTCCCCACTGTCCTTTCTTCTGCTCCATTCCCCTCTGCCACAGGAGCTCTGGAGGAGAAAGCTGGTGGTATCTTGCCATGAGGGGAGCACTCAAGGCCAGACCCCAGTCACCTTCCTCCCCTCCCTGTCACTGTGGGCTCAGAGCAGTGAAGATGGAGGAGAGCCATGAGGTCTCCCCAGCGTCCAGTGGCCAAGCCTTGTGCCCATGTGCTCCAGGGCTGACCTCCCACATCCGCTGGGTGCAGCCACTCACCTCTTGGGAGGCCACCAAGCTTACCTCCACCAGGCTCTCTCTGTCCCGTCTGCAGGGAAGAACATTCAGCTCTGCCCCTGGGCCCTCAGCATAGAATAAAGCAGTCAGAACTGGAAGGCTATGGAAACATCTTTCATCCCTGCCCCTACAGGAAACACCAGAGAAACAAGGCCACATGCCGGTGGACGGCTGGTGCGCCCTCAAGGCCACGCCCTGAATGACTTTCACAGTTGCTCTCCTGGAGCTTTCCCATGCCGAATCCAAAGCTCAGCGGGTCTGAGGGGTTCTGTCCCCTAGAGAGGGGACGCTTTGCTCTGTGTGACAGAGATTTAGGTCCGCCCCAAAGACTCCAAACCAGAGTACACAGAAATGAAAGTGTCCTTCTCATCAGCCCTGGGATGACACTGATTGTAAGAAGCATCCCTGCTTTATATGCTGCTAAGGATGAAAACACTGATAATTAAGCCCTGTCATGCCATCAGAGATGCTGAAATACATTTTAATTTATTTTTATTTTTATTTATTTTTTGGTGCCAGAAGTCAAACTCACAGGACCTTTCCAGGCAGGCACTATGCCACTGAGCTATGTCCCCAGCCCAAAATACATATTTTTTAATGGAAGGTTTATCATTAATGGATCTAGAGTTTCAGTTGTTAAAAGAGGAAAAGTTCTGGAGAAAAACGGTGATAATTGTTGCACAGCAATCTGAATATGTTTCTTTTAAATGTGAGCAGTACATTTAAAGGTGAAATGGTAAAGTTTATATCAGCAGGTATTTTTGCCCTGGACATTTATATTGTCCTGGTCTGCTGGTATCACTATGACCTTATGTCTGAGATCAGATACTGTTGTTTTTTTAAAAAAGTATTTCTCCAGTTCTCACAGCTCTAGAGACTGGGGAGGCCAAAGCTGAGGCGCCAGCAGGTCGGTGATATAGTGAGAATCTGGTCTCTCTTTCCAAGTTGGCACCTTGAACACAGCATCCCCAAGCAACAGGAGGGACAGAAGGACAGAGCAAGGGACCGGCCAGATTCCCCCAGCACCTGCACAGGAGCACTAACTCACTCATAAGAGCAGAGCCCTCGCGACCTAATCATCCCCCCAGACCAGCACTTCTTAATGCTGTGGGGAACCGCAGCGTGTGTTTACCACAGTTTTAAAAACAGAAATGTAAGCCAGGCGTGGTGGTGCATGCCTGTGATCGCAACACTCAGGAAGCTGAAGCAGAAGGACCCTTGCAAATTCGAGACCAGCCTGGTCTACAAGGTGAGCACAAGGCCAGCCTGAACTGCATAGGGAGACCCCATCTTTGAAAAAAGACAAAAAAATTTAAAATAAATGTCCATGTGAGGTCTGGCATCAGTAAAATAGATCACACACTCCAGCTGCTGGGCATCCTGGTATTTGCACAAGGGCCCATTATGCAGGGAATGCTTCCTAGGGGTGGAGGAGGGGTCCCTGCCCACCCCTAAGCCTGCTCTGCTCTCCCACAGGTGCCAAGAGGAGTGCCCCCTGGGGACCTTCGGCTTCCAGTGCTCACAGCTCTGTGACTGCCACAACGGAGGCCAGTGTTCGCCCACCACGGGTGCCTGCGAGTGCAGCCCTGGCTACAAGGGCCCTCGCTGCCAGGAGCGGCTATGCCCCGAGGGCCTGCACGGCCCATTATGCTCCCTGCCCTGCCCCTGTGACCCTGACAACACTGTGAGGTATGGCTGGCTGGGGACTGGGCACAAGAACAGGGAGCAGGACAGGGTGGCTGGGATTGGAGAGGGTTCTCCCATGGCCACCCAGATGGGACAGAAAGGAGTCCAGAGTCCTCAGCTCCTGGACCCTAGCCTCGCTTTGATGAAAAGGAGAAGCCAGGGCCATAGTGTCAGAGTCGCCTGCCGCTGTCAGAGTTCTCTGGCCCCCGCTGTCCACATGTCACACTGGACCTGGACCCCACATGCAGGAGCAGGGCAGGAGCTCGTGACCCACAGGGTTTGGGCAGCCCCAGTGCTCAGTCTTCCTCCTCATGCTTGGTGTCTAACCAGAGAGCAGGCCATGGGGCTGACACAGGGGCTTGGACCACGGGCACTTGGGACAGCTGTCCAGCAGTCCCAGCAAGGTGGAGGGATGGGCCAGAAGTGAATCCGTCACCAGGGACCTGGCAGTGACTATTGCTGACGTAGCCTGGACTTCGAGTGGACTTTGCCTCAACCCCTTCTCCTTTCCAGCTTCTGATTTTTGCCAAATCACCTCAGGGCCTCCAATCAGTACGAGCAGACACCTTAGCAGGTGTCACAGCTCAGGCTGAAATGGTCCTCAGGCCCTGGAGCTGAGTGTCTGGGGCAGTGCAAGGTGGGGGCTGTCCAGAGAGGCCCCCGGCATGAAGTGTAGAATGCACCCGTTATCACAGGCATGAAAAGTGGGGAGGAACTTAGAGTTCTGAAGCATCTTAGGGTGGGTGTCATGTACATGGGCCAGCTATGCTGGGGCCCAACAGGTACCACGGCTGTGTGCAGGAAGGACCATGACAGACCGCCGGAGGACTTCCTGGAAGAGGAGGTATCTGGGCTTTTTGGCAGGCAGGGTGAGAACTCCAAACATGAGGGAGGGCAGGGAACAGTTCCAGGGAAGGCCACGTGAACCCTGTAGGGACAACACTCGAGGCCAAGCTGGAAGGCCCCCCGTGCAGAGGAGCTGTTGTTTTCCTCCCGTGCCCAAGCAGGCATGCCCTGCATAATTTATCTTCCCTCCAAAGGAGTCCTCGGTACATTATTAATCTGGAGGACTCCCTCTCCTCCATTGCTAATCTCATCCCATCCAGTATTAATGATTATTTGCTTTTCTGTCTAACGCACGTCATGTTTCAGGAACAGGGAGGCAGTTATGGTTCTTGGACCATGGGCCCTGGGGTTGCTGACCAGTCCATCTCAGGCAGCCTCCTGGGAATGTGTGTGCCCCCCTTGGGAACTCTGTCCCAGGCCTGGATCTCACCTGGTCGCTTTGTCCACCTGGGTCACAGCCAGCCTGGTGCTGTGGTGCCCGGCAAGGAGCAGCGTTGCAGGGACAAGCATCACTGAGTTCCTGCTAAGTAGTTCTGCCCGCTAGCGGATGCCTGCCCTGGTTCGGTTTTCAACTATTTCACCCTTTCTCCTGGCACACTGCCCCAGGGACTGAGTCCCCGGTGCTTACAGTCCTTTATTCCTCTGGCTCTGGCTCTGGCTCTGGCTCTCTTGCCTTGTTCCTGTTTGGGGCAGGTTAGCCCTCAGATGCCGAGGGCTGCCCTGGGCACTGTGGGATGCTTGGCAGCGTCCTCAGCTCTGTCCCCTTCCCACACCCAAGCACTGGCACTGGAAGTGTTTTCTGTCCTTGCCGGTGTGCAGTGGGGTGGGAGAGCAGGACAGAGGCAGAGATCCTGTGGCCTGAGCTCTCAAGTACTACACCTGGCATTGCTCTGTGGACCCCAGAGAACAGCTGTCTTCCCCAGCGTGGACTTCCAGTGAGTCCCTGAGCCCCTCTAGACCTTCTCCTGGGATCTAAGGACAGCAGGAACAATGCCACATACCCGGAAGCAGTTGTGCTGCAGGTTCTGGGTCGGGGCCTGGCCTCAGACCTCCTTCTGTCTACACCAGCAGCCTGGTTTGCAGGCTTCTCCTCCCTCTGCCCTTCCCCAGTGTCTCCGTCCTTGTTATCAAGCCAGTGGGAGAAATTGCGCTTGTGCATTGTCAAAATGCAGCTTCCACTCAGGTCCCCAAGAGAAAAGTGGCCTCGTGTGCCCCCGGTTTCTGCAGAACTTGACTTGCAAATGTTGAACAAGTTTCACAGCAAGACAGGGTGACCCCAGCCAGAGGGAGGCCTGTCCACCCCACCTGGCCAGTCTGCTCCTGGCTCCTTCCACCCCTACCCTACCAAGCCACTCTGCCTAGGAAGGAGAGGTGACCAGCGAGCTCGCCAGCACATTAGCCCCCCAGCACCTCCTTGACCCCCCCTAACGTACACAGAGAGGCCACCCTGCCTCATGAAGGACGCCTGTCTGGTGTCCGGCTTTTCAGTGTGCCCTCCACAATTGGATTGTCATAGGTGAATTCCAGCCTCCATGATCGTGTGTTACCTTTGAAAGATTTGATTTAGCCAGCAGATGCCACATTGATAGGAATCTCAGAGTGGCCAAAAGAAAGGCAGAAAAATCCACCCTGAAAAGATTGATCCTGCATTGTGCAGCTTTCGGCTCCTATTACCTTGTGATCAATCTGTGTCTGCTGAGATAGGAGAAATGGGGAGGGGCAGAGGGAACCCAGCAGCTTACAGACCAGGGGTGATGGTGCTCGCCTGAGTCTCCCCAGCAGTGCTTGGCCCATTGTGTGACCCCAAGGACCAGGACCTAGCCAGGGAGGGAGGGGAGCGCCTACCCTCCGAGGAGGTCAGAGGTGCTGAGTGTAGTGACCACAGCTCTCAGTGACAACCCCTGCCAGCCACTACTTCCATCCTCTGGTTTGTTTGCGGGGTGGTGGTGGTGGTGGTGGTGGTGGTGGTGTTTGTTTTGAGACAGGGTCTCGCTCTGTAGTCCAGGCTGGTCTTGAAACTACTGTGTAGCCCTGGCTAGCTTCAAATTTGTGTCAATCCTCCTGCCTCGGCCTCCCAAGTGGGATTACAGGCATGCACCACCACTCCCAGTTTTAGATTTGGGTTCGAGCCTTCCAGTTCTCAGAGTAAAAAGTATAAACATCAGCACCCAGATGCCCTCACTCTCCACCCCCAGGCAGCCAACAATGGCTTTGGAGATCAATAGCAGTAAATTTGAATTCTCAGGGGTCCCTGTGGCTGGGTCTCTCCTTTGGGCTACAGTGGGGAAATCCAGCCTGACAGCTCCAGGGCAGAGAGCATCGCTCTAACTGATGACAGAGCAGAAAGGTGCCTGCGACCTTGGGAGATCCCAGGGCTGGATGGAAGCCGGACCTGCAGGGCCATTCCTGGTCCCTCTGACTCTGAGCTTCAACCCCAGAGGAGGCCCCGGGAGCACTGGGCGTGAGGAAGTGGAGCCTGGGGTCCTGGCTCAGAGTGTGGAGCTCAAGGAGGGCCTTGGAGCCACTGCCAAGGGCGCTGAGTGGGCACTGCCTGGTGGCACCGATACACATCTTCACTCTGTCGCCTTACAGTGTTTGGGGGGAGTCTCGGCATCCATGAAGGTTGGAAAATTTCAAACACTCATGGTTTATGCTGATTCTTCTTTGTCGAGTATTTATAATTTTTATTGCTTTTCATCTATTTATTAATGTGATATAGATGCTCAGCGTGGGGAAGTTAGAGAACCCACAAACACTTAAAGAAAAAAAAAACTTGAGTGATTCATAATTTCTCAGCCCCCAGTAAACACAAAATCCACTTCATTGTAGTCCTAAATATAGATGTCACCCACGTCTATATTTATAGCACGTGCTTCATATTTCTGATCATGGCTTTGTAGGTAAGTTGCTTACTTCACTCAACCTTTGTAGCCTGTCATTAAATATTTGGGGAAATAATGGACACCTCCCCAACATTCCTCCATGTCATCATTCATTTAAGCAGCACCCCATTTGCAGAGGCAGCAGGGCCAGGAGATAATGCGACCAGCCAGACCCAGGTTGGAATCCCAGCTCTGCCGCTCACAAACTTCACCGTGTGACCTTGGGCAAGTCACATAGCCTCCAAGTGCCATCTGCAAAATAGAAGTTCAGGTTCCTGATTCACATGCGTACTGAAGTCTAGAAATATGTGTGTAAAGTGCCCGGTACTTTAATAGCTCAGTCACATATTATTTATTATTATTCAAATTGCTTCCATTTTCCAGTGTTATAAATAATGCTTCAGAGAACATCTCTGTGCATAAATCTTTCTCCACAACCATGATTATTTCCCTAGGATAGATTCTTGGGAATGGAATTATAAGACCAAGGAGTCTGAATATTTTTAGGTCTCCTGATACATAACCTTGGTGACATGTTTCGAAACCTTTTACCAGCATTTTTTTTTATCTATTCTGTTTTGATAGAGAAAAAAATGATATCCATTTATTGTTTTGACTTGATGATTAATGAGACAAAACATGATTATTAGCTACTTGCACTATTATAGAATTGTCTGCTTCTATCCACCCCCTCATTTTCTGGGAGAAAACCATGGTCCCCAGATGAGAAACTGCTCGCCTGGGCTGCACATAATTAGTTTGTTCATTAATTCCTCTGCCAAATATGCATGGAGCACCTTCCATGTGCCAGGTCCCCCACTGGGCCCTGAGAGCCAACCCAGACAGACAAGGGCTCCCCCCAGGGAGCCACAACCTGGCAGGAGAGAGAGATGGCAGACCAATCAGCAGACAGGAAATAATTAGCCATCATGGAAACTGTATTTATTCCCAAATTTGTAACTGGGCAGTGAACATGAATGAGCTCAAAGTGTGGAGCTCAAGGAGGGCCTCAGGACCTGGGACCTGTCAATGGCCCAATGAGACAAAGCTCCTGTCCTCATGGAACTTAACAGCCAAGACAGTACCCCCAAGATGGATTCCAGAGCAGGGTGGCAGGCAACACAGGGAATCTCAGGCTTTTCTCTGCTGGGCCATCCCAGAAGCAGCCACCAGATTCAAGAGCTTCAGTAGGGGAAGAAGGGCAGGAACAGGGGAGGCTGGGACCCCACTATGTGATGTGACTGGTGCCGGGGGAGGGAAGGGGAGTGGGTGGAAGTGTCTCAGCTCTGCAGTCCTAGGAAGTTTGGCAAGATTGGAAATCTCAGAGCCAAAGGTGCCCACCAGAGGACTCCCATGAGTGTCCCAGAAACATGGTCTGGGGATGTCAGATACAGCAGCTGGGGCCAAAGGTCCACGTCACTCCTCCCTCTGGCGCTCTGAGTGCACCATCAGAATGGCATGGCTGTAGGAGCAGACCACCACTGCCAAAGGCTGTCCCCTCACCAGCTCATGCCAGGCAGCCCCTGCCTGCATGCAGCCAAACAGTCCTTCCTGTGGCTGGACAGATGGCGATGAAAGTGAGCTGGCTCCCCAAGAAAAAGCCTGGCCTGGCACAGGTTGGGTGTTCTCTCCAGTGCAAGGGGAAGAGAGGCCACATGTCACTGGGTGTCATTGCTGCCTTCTCATGGCCGTCCGCATGCTGGGTATCTGTCTGCCTTGGGTGGGGTGGGTGAGTCTCTGGACCCTGCAGTCTTATCAGCAAGGGACCAAGGGGCCACCTGTTTCTGTATGTCTGTGGTATAAAGAGTCCATCTTTGGGAGTCAGAAGGCCTGAGTTCCAATGCTGATCTTGCTATCTCCTTGCTGTGTGGCTTGAGGCAAGTTACATGACCTCACAAGCCTTGCTTTCTGGGGACACATGCTCCTGTGGCCCAGATACTTTCTGATGAACAAACAGGACACTAAGCAGTTGAACCACAGTGGCCCTTTGACCCTGCTGCCCCAGAGAGACCGGATTTGGGGTGGGCAGTGGGTGGGACACAGCCGCATCCCTGACCAGACTGTCCGTCTGCCTTCTCTCATCACCTCAGCTGCCACCCAGTAACTGGAGCTTGTACCTGCCAGCCGGGCTGGTCTGGCCACCACTGCAATGAGTCCTGCCCTGCTGGCTACTATGGCGATGGCTGCCAGCTGCCTTGCTCGTGCCAGAACGGTGCTGACTGTCACAGCGTTACAGGGGGCTGCACCTGTGCCCCCGGTTTCATGGTGAGTTGGGAGAAGCCCGCTGTGGCCTCCCTGACCCCTGCTCCTGGCAGGAAGGGATGGCCCTGTGCCCCCTCCCCAAAGCTGATCTCCAAGGGTGGGGTCTGAGACATAGGGTTGCTGTTCATGGTCCCCCTACCCTGTGTACCTGGCTCGTCCCACCGTGACTTTGGACACACAGTATTTCCACATCATGATAGCCACAGTGCCCACACAGAGCTCTGCATCCGGCTTTCTCTCACCCATGTCTCTGTGTTGCTGGTTGGCCTTCTTAATTATCATTTTAAAGGACCGCACAGGCTGGAGGAAGCGATCCACCCTGGTTTCCTGAGCTTGCCAAAGAAGTAATCCGTTCTCAGCGTGCCCTGCCGGTGTCGTAGCGAACATCTTCCTGCAAACAGCTTTTCCCCTCCGTCGAATTCTTTCCTTAGGGTAAATCCCCATGCTGGTGGGCATAACATATTTATGGTCCTGACAGAAGTTGCTGGATCACTTTCCTCAAGGGTCCTGTAAATCGTCACTGTCACCAGCCATGTAGGAGTGGTACCCACCTCAGAACAATTTCACTAGCATCCTTTCCCCCCTTGCTAGTTATCTAGCTAGAAAACGGCTGCTCAGTGTCGCTCTGATTTGCATTTCTCTGATTACTAGGGAGAGTGAGCATTTTCCCCACGTGTTTGTTTACTACTTGTATTTCCTCATGAATTATGCTGGTCTCAATGAGGGTTGATTCTGGGGACTTTGATGCTGGAAGTGGAACCCTGTTCAAAGGTGGGGTATATCCAGTGGGACACCCAGACTTCTACTTTTTAATCAAGCTATGGGACACAGTGTATGCAATGACAATCGTGCAGCCTCTGGAACCTGACCTGGGTCACAGCCTGGCTGTCCTTCTTCCCCCATGTGACCTTGGACCAGTGACTTAAACTCTTCAGTTCTGTTTTCACCCCTGTGAAATCGCACACCTGCCTAACCAGCTCCTGCACAGGTGGAGAGAAGGGATGCATGGGGTCACTTTAACTGCAGGCCTTGTTAAATTTCATGTTCTGATTGATGAGGTATGGGGTGTGCCCTGGGGCTGTGCATTCCTGCTGAGCTGGGGCACAGGTGCTGAGGCTGCCGGCCTGGGAAGGGCCAGGAAGGGGCTGCAGGGTGGAGTCTCCTGGGGGCTCCTTGGGGTACCCAGGGGTGCCAATATCCCTGGTCTGGTGTGGCCCACCTAAGGCCAGTGTGCTGCCCAGGGGTGGAGTCACCCATCTGAAGGGAAGCCCTGGTCATGATAACCCTGATGAGGACTTGGCTGGTGACAGTCTTTTGAGGACAGGCTACTACCTCAGTCTGTAGAGCAGAGGTTAGAGTAAAACTCTACCCGGCACCATCTTCCTCCCTCCCAGTGCGGCTGGGTGGACATGGACCCTGTCCTTCCTCCTGCTGTCCTTGCTAAGGGACCTGTGATGCTGTGAGTTTGGGCCCATAGCTTCCTCAGGAAAATGGAAGCTGTCTGAGTTTGGGTTTTAGGGGAGGAGAGAATGGTCATTTGGAATTTTAAAAATTTCACATAGCCAAATGGTCAGAGCACTGCAGAGGCCAGACCGGATTGCTAGTGGAGGCATCCTGGACCCAGCCCTAGGCTGGCTACTCAGATGGCTCTGTGACTGGGTGAGTGGCCCTTTCTTCATCTGTAAACAGTGAATGTGCAGGGAGATATGAACCAACCGATTTCTAAGATGATCTCTGTGGACTCCATGGACTGAATCAGGGAACACTACTCCTAGGGCCCGGGGGAAGCTGCAGCTGAATGCATGCATGGCACCACTGAGCAGAGGCTCACTGAGGGGTGCTGGGGTCCCATCCTGCACAGCACTGCGGGTCTTCTGTCAGCCTCACCCGCTCTTATCCCCATTCTCCAGCCTCAGCGAGAATCCTTGTACCTTGTCCCTGCTCCTGAGAATGAAAACTAGGCCTGAGGAGGCAGCGTTTGTGTCCACCCTCCCCAACCAGCGCTCCACAAGTCCGGAGGCCAGACTGCAGCCTCCACCCGGGATGCAAATGGCTCCCTATCCTTGAATTCTGGGAGGCTTGGACAGATTCAGTTCACTGTGGAGTTCTGCCTGCCTGGGGTTAGGGTTAAGATGGGGGGCCGAGCTGTCCTGGCGAGACCCCATACTCTCCTGTATATTTCCTCCTGCTCAGCCTCATTACTGCTGGAGAAGCTTTTCCAAGGTCCTGCTGGGCAAGGGTCCCTCTGCGAGATTCCAGAAAAGTTGATTGTTTTCAACCAGTGTGACTGATTCCTTCCAGCACGGGACTCACAGGGAGGAAGCCATTACTCTGGTCCTCTCCTGAGTGTGACCTCCTCCCATTGGCCAGCACTGCTCAAGGGAGATAGAACACTCCATCAGCAGGACACGCTCCACTGAGGGTCTCGAAAAGTGGCTCTCAGTCAGTAACCATCAGCAGGACTTTCATCTGTTGGTTGACTTGTGAATTTGTTTACCTGTCCATTTCCTAGAAGGCTGTTGGATGGGCAGCTAGGAAAGGATTACAACCCACTTCTGGTCCTAGGGAACTTTCATCCTAGACTCAGTAACCGCAGCCGTGTCCCTTCACCCTGCTGAGCCTCACTTTCCTTATCTGTAAGATAAGAGGAGTCAGCCAGTCTTGCCTACTTGGGAGCATGAGTAGCCATTGGGGTACCCTCAGTGATCCCCTCCCAAAGCCATCCCCAGCAGGGGATGTTGGGAGAGAATGCCGTGGCAGCTTGATGACTGGTGACTCTGGGAGGGCTCACCACACATAGACCAACTTTGAGATGGAAGGAACACCATGGATCCACATGACTCTGAGTCCAAGTCCTGGCTCTCCACCCCGCTCTGCCTCCTGGCCAGACACTCACCCGGCCTAAGCTCAGCATCCTCAGGTGTTACAAGGAGACTTTGTGGCAGAGTGAGGAACTTCCCTCCGGAAGCCCACCTCTGGGTCAGAATCTCCACAGACACTTGGTAAAACGCAACATGATGAGCATGGTGTGGAACATTACTTCCCGCAAGGCTAGCACCCCCCAAAAAGAATGTCAAGGTGAGCTGCACGCAGGGATTCCCAGAGAAGCAGAGCTGCAGACATACAAGGGAGACTAAAAATACAATGAGTGTTCAAGTTTTCTTTTATTATTAAGACACATTGCCGTGGATCCTGCTCAAAATAGTTCTCCTTCACTTCAGACACACTTAGCCCATCATTCTTTCCACTTCCTGGAGCAGTTCTGGAGGTCCTCTTTCACGAGTGTCCTTGTGAGGTGTGATTTTAAAAAAGTAGATAATGCTGCCACCGAGTGCCATCCAACAGGAGGGCCGGCTCAGTAAGACATCACAGTGTGTCCTCGACCACCTTAGTCACCAGAGCTGGTACTCTTTCTGCCTCTTCCCCAAAAGAAAATATCCATGAAAGGTAAAGGTTTTGAATTGATTCAGGATGTTGAAGCACCCATAACAGCCCACCTGAAGGCACCATGGTGATGTCTTTTACTGTAATATATTCGTATTTAAAAATGTGAACACTCAGTGTAGTTTTTTGTCACATCTAGTACATATCTGTTCTCCCAGGCAGGTCCCCCTGCACACTTGTGGGTCCTTGAGTGGTCAGTCTCAGCCAGTGTTTGCAAAAACACTAGAGCTGGGGTGAAGTGGGGAGGAGGGCCAGGGCACTGGCATCCTAACTTGGTGCCCACAGTGGAATTCCTTGGAGGAGACGCTGCACCAGGGCTTCCGGTACAGGAAAGAGCTCTGGGGTGGAGGGCAAGGAGCTGAGTTCAGAGCTCTGGGTTTGCCAGTGTGTGGGAGCTTCTGCTTCTCATCTGTGAAATGGAAATGAAATTCTCTGCAGAAAGAGTGCTGTAGGGACCCTTCAGCTGCACGGGAGAGTTAAACTTCAGGCTTGCAAGGTTTCAGCACCTTGGACAGAACCCCTGCAGCGCGCCCGCTGAGGCCCCAGGGCCTCCCGAACAGTCCCAGTGTGAGGGGCCAATCACAGTCCCAGTGGGAGGGGCCAATCACAGTCCCAGTGGGAGGGGCCAATCACAGTCCCAGTGGGAGGGGCCAATCACAGTCCCAGTGGGAGGGGCCAATCATAGTCCCAGTGGGAGGGGCCAATCACAGAAGGGCTCAGGCAGCAGAGTCCTGGGGTCCCTGCAGCCCTGACCTGGCTTGTCGCCGTGAGGACAAGCGGCACTTTCCTCCCGGCCACCTTGGCTAGAGATGGGGCTGAATTGGGCTGAGGGGGCCAAGTAGAGCTGTCCAACCTCTCCTCCAAGACTCCGCCTTGAATTCACCTTTCCACTGGCCGTTCTCACAGCACCTCACTTATGCTAGCGTGTGTCTCTCAGAGGACAAGGACACAGCTCCCTCCTGACCCTTTGTCCTGAGCACCGCCCCAGCTTGGAACAGCCTGCCCTCGGAACTCTTTCTGAAATGAATGAAAGCTTGGGAGGAGCACTGCCTTTTAAAGCACAAATTTCCATCCTGACATATATAGGAAGGAAACGCAGGGCACCTCCCCAGGGCCCTCGCCTGCAGGGCTGGAATTTAAATCTACCTGTCCGCCTCGGATAAGCCGATGGTGCTGTGGACACCCGCGTAGCTGTCCTCTAGCGCCACCTCTGGGCTCTTTGCGCAATGGCAGGGGCTTCTCCCTGCTGCAGTCCTGTGGGGCGGTTTTGCAGACGGGCCAAAGTCCCTGCCTTGAAATCCAGCTTTGCTGCTCACTGTGCTTGTGAGACCTTGAAAGCGGTTCTCTATGTCCGTCTTGTTACATTCTCAAGGGGAATAATGATGGGATGATTGGAGTAATTGAATTGATTGGCACATGCAAAGCACTTAGAATGTCCAGCCTATTAGTCATCGCTCAACAAGTGATAGCCCTTACTTATTTTTCTTCAGTGCTGGGGACTGAGCTCACGGCCTTTGCCCTACCTCCCCAGCCCTTTTTTATTTGGAGACAAGCTCTCC